CACCTTAGCATCCTACATAACATAGCACCATCCTTATCCCAAGAGCTCCCTCATGTCTGTTCCCTTCATGCTCCTATCCTGCCTAAGTTTTCCTTTTCTATTTGACACATAGATGCATCAGAAGAGATCCACTGTCTGTTTTATCTTGAAAAGTATCTAATTCAGAGCCTCTGACCTAGGAACTCCAGTTCAGATCTGCCGTTTCTATGTTCTAAACCCTTGTCCTTCCGACTTCCTAATTAGATTTTTTCATAAAACTCAAAGAGGAAGAAATACTGCTTAGGTAAGCAAACAATTTTTGAGTATTATGTTTTTTTTACAATAGCACTTTTCATGTTTTAGGATTGTAGGTGAAGAAAGTAGTCTTTTGTTCTTTCTTTCTTTTTTTTTTTTTTTTTGTCAGTTGTGGGGCCTGAACTCTGGGCCTTGGTGCTGTCCCTGAGCTCTTCAGCTCAAGGCTAGAGCTCTACCACTTGAGCCACAGTGCCACTTCCAGCCTTTTTCTGCTTATGTGATGGTGAGGAATCGAACCCCAGGGCCTCATGCATGCAAGGCAATCATTTTACCACTGAGCCACCTTTCCAACCCAGAAAGTAATCATTTATCTCAATTTTTTTCATTGAAAATGATACATAATCAGCTGGTATTACTCATTATCCCTCTACCAAGGAAATAATCACTGAGTTCTCTAAAATTTCCACTGTTTATAGCAAGGCTTATTTCAGAAGTAGAGATACGTGGCTTATTTTTATCAAAGAACATCTATATTTAAGATTTAGTACAGCAAAAAAGGAACTATCAGACTTAGCTGTATTAACGCTTGAAATGCTGATGTTTAATTAAACATTAAGCAGTAATCTTCAAATCTTCAAAATACAATGTGTAAAAGAAGTACCCAGGAACACCTGAATTTTATTCAGTTTTAGACTAATGTATCTCCCTGTAGCTTAGACCTACATTCACAATTTACTACTCTTTGGTAAATGCCTTCTTTTGGCATGGTTAGCAACCTGGACTATGAAAATTTATCTTCATTAGCAAACGTTTGTGTTCATGGCATTAAGATCCTGAGAAAAAATTATTATTTTCTACTGTCTTAATTTTTCATGGAAATTTAAGTAAAATGGTCCTCTATAGAATCTCATGCTTATGGATGGAAATGAGAAGGTTTTGATCTAGTATAAGGTGAGCAAGTTCCTAGGATCTAATGTACAACATAAATAGCAATGCCAGTGACTACCCGACTACACTCTGTATGGAAATCAGATCATTATAGTATACAGCTTGAACATATATTCTCAATTAGATTTTTTTAAGTAAAAGAAGATTTTGGTTGACTTGAGCAAGAGAGTGATCCAAGGATTTTGAGCAGAGGAGGGACATGCTTTAAGTTACATCCTATTGCAAGACCACTGGGAATCCTAGGTCCAGGTGAGAAATGTTGTGTTGGGATCTCATTACTGTTGGTGATGGAGGTGGTGACAAGTGGGAGATATGCCTTGAAGGAAGAGCCAATAGGATTTCAAGGATCAATACAGTGTTTTATATATATATATATATATATATATATATATATATATGTATGTATGTATGTATGTATGGGGGTGGAAGAGTGGCAAGACGACTTCCAATTAGAGAAATAAATTAATAAATTTTTCATCAGTTAAAGTGGAGAAAAGTATAGGAAGGGCAAGGTCTTTGCTTTCCCTGCATCCATACAATGGGAACCTTAGATGTTATATCTGAAAAATTTTAAAAAACATTTGCCTCCAGCGTTAAGACTAGGCACTTTTTCTTGGAGATTTGTGGGTCAGACTTGAAACTGTTGAGCAGTGTTTTTGAGAAGCAAGTAGGGGAATTCCAAGAGTGAAGCAACTGCTGTCCCAGAGCTTTCTGTTGGTATATATGCTCAGGGCTAGGTCTTCCTTCTTGGGACCATTTCCTTTTTGGTCTCTTTGTCACTTGTCACTGCTGCTACCTGGTGATTCCAGCCAAAGTTTCTTTGTTTCCCTTCTGTGATCACTGACAAATCAGACTTGTAGCTTCTTTCTTTTGTTCCTCTCTGTTCACTAAGCAGCACAGCTCCTTTCGGTAATCATGGAAAATACGTAAATATTACTTTTGATTGCTTTTCTGCCCCATCTGCTTCATTAACAACTTTGATCTGTTAAACAAAAATTTTGTCTTTCCAGGTTGCACTGGTATGTATTTATATACAAAAAGTCAGAATTTATCTGCATTAAAAAATATATTAGATGGGATGAGGAAAGTGCAATTGTTACCATTGGGTCTTTGGACACAGCGGGGGAGAGGGTTTAAGGTACAAATGGAAAACAGGAGATTGACAAGTGTTGCCCTTTCCCAGTCCTACCTTTTTCAATTTCTCACTGTTGACTGTGATAGCCAGTCCTGCTCCCCTGAGCCTCCTGTGTGTCCTGTGAGCTGCAGGTGGCTGCTGGTGTATGGGGACCTCAGGGTACTTAAATAGGGAAGAAAGGGCATTTCTGAATTAGAGCTCTCAGTAAGCAGGCAGGATAATCCCTGAAGATTTACAATCTGGGACTAGCAAGACCACATCTGGATTTTAGGAAAGTAATCCTGGTACCTGTAGACTGATTAGACAGAGACCAGAGCTGAACAATTAAATTAGAAGGTGGTTAAAGGCATGTATTCAAGAGAAATTGAGGTCTTGGACTTGGGAGAGGTGTGGCAGGGAGGGATCAAAGAATGTAGAGACCCAGGAAGAGAAGGGAGATGATGTGGTGAATGAGCAAGTTTTGGGAGGTAAAGAAGGTGGGATGGCCGAGGGTGACCAGGACACCGTGATATGGATGGCAGGGCAGAGACTGTGAGAGCAGGAGGCAAGAGGAGCCATTGTGAGATAAATCAGTTCATGGAGCCTGTAAGAAGAGCTCCACATAGGTGAAAATCAGGTTTCTGAAAATACTACTCAGAACCACTTGGAAGGTAGATGGAGAAACAAGACAGGTTCAGAGAGGTTCAGAAGCTGGAGAAAGGCTTGGGGGTTCTGGGCATTAATCTGTAAATTGTGATGGTGGAGGTGATCAAGGTGGATCTGGGCTGTAGCATTTCCCAGGAAACCGTCATGCTCCCTCTGTCTCTGTCCCTCTATCCCCCTTACACACACACACACACACACACACACACACACACACACACACACGGGTGCACATGCACACAAACACACACCATACATATATACATACATACACGCACACAGTTTGCTTTAGAATTTTTTTTTTTTGCCAAGGCATGTATTGTGCTGGAAGAATGAAGAAAGATAGTTCTGCTTCCAAACAGGGAGCGAATTATTTCTCACTAAAGCAGCCACAGCTTATTCGTGCTCAAGAAATAACCGTTGCCAGTCATAGACACATGAGTGTCCCTTGGAATCTCCCTTCAGCAGCTCACTGGAAAGAGATTCAAAACAGAATGGTTGCTTGTGCAAAATGCCTCATGTCCATTAAACAATGCTTCAAGTGTCTGTTGGGGACCGAAAAGCATGAACAGGCACGACCAGCTCACACTTCGCTACAGAGACACACAGCAAGCTGCAAAGCCCTTGTTTTGTGCTCTCTAGGGCGCTTGGCTCTTAATTTCCTGTCAGATCTGATCAGTCACTTCAGCTTAATCATGTCTGCCTGACCTAGTGGCTTAGGCTATAGAGGGTTTTCAGGTCTCTTTTGGTGTAACTTCCTTTATACAGTAGCTTTGTGCATAGAGAATTTTAATCATAAACACTGTTGTTGGAAACATTACCCAGATACCTTTTGAAATATGCTGTTACAAAGCTCGGTTCCCACTGTTTTACCAGGGCAAGTGGCTGTAGGTATTTCAAACACTTAATACTGCACAAGCAATTAAGGTATCTGACAACCTGAGCATTACTCTACACCTGCATCCTGCAGTGCCTATAAAGGCAGTGGCTTGCTATCCATTGCTTCTGATTTGAAGGGTGTGACTTCTTTTCTGCAAAGGACTTTCATCACATTTACAGAAGCAAGAAACCAATGAGAGAAAGGATGGGCCAGCTTTTCCCTTTTTAAAGAGTTGCTGCTCTGCTCTGCTTGGAGCTAAAGAAGCCCTCCCGCCCCACAAGACTAGCTTTCCAGCTGGCCCCCACAGCCACGGAGGGAATCAATCAATTCGGATAACTAACATGGCTGTGCAGGCAATTACCGCCCATCTCTCCACATCTACAGAACGTGTTGGAAGGGATTGCTTGTAGACATAGATCTGAGAGACAGTTTTATATATTCACTTGGCGTTAGTCAATTTCTTTTTCTTTAACTAAAGTAAGGGAAGAACCAATTTGTAAGATTTTCCTTAAGTAGAAAATTTTGTTATTATGTATATTTGTGTGGTATAATTCTTTGCATGAATTAAATGGAAAGGGTGTTTTTTATTTTCCTGAACAAACTCACACTATTAACACATCAGTAGTTATTGACATATACATCTTTTTTCTTCTCCTTTTCAACTGGGCTGTGGCTATATCAGAAAGCAGTTATCTGCCTTTTTATTCTTCAGAATTCCTATCATGGTGTTAAGCCTGAAATACAGCATTTCATAGTAAGTTTGCTGGAGCTGAAACTCAAGTGTCATGGAAAATTCATATTTCATAGTTTGAATTCACCTCAATTTACAAGGAATTTCAGCACAGAACCACTTTAGGTTCCCATCTACTTTTATGTATGCCTACAGATGTAGATTGATTATGTCGGGTTTATTCTGTGATATAATTTGGAGGGCAGGATTTGATCCTCATCATTCAGTTGGAGCATTAGAAAGAGGTTCTTACTAATTGATTTGGAAAGAATAGTTATCCTACAACATTTTTTATGTTTCTTTGATTTTTATTGACACAAATTTATTTACATACTTTCAATAAATACTTTTTGCTGTTCATCCCCCGTAACTTGGTAGACAAATCTGAGCGGCCAAGGCTGAAGTGTAATTTGTTAATTTGTTTTTCAAAGGTCCCATCAGAAAATTGAAGACCCTGAAGAAAGCAGTGATGAAATTCTTGCTCGGTTAACATCTGCGGTAAGACCAATGAAATTTGCCTACCTAGTTGGAGCAGAAATAATGAGTCAAGGTCTTCAGGAGGAGGGAAGTTTAGGTAGTGGTGTAGCCAGGGATTTGCTCGGTGACTGGTCTTCACTATGGAAGCTGTAGGGAAAGGTAGAGGACAACAGTGACTAACTTCCCTATGAGAAATAAGGATAGATGGACATTTCCTGCAGCTTTCCTGAGGCTATACTATCTGATCATTTAAATTCTGTATGATTTATCCTAGGAAAAATTGTTACTGGCTGCACAGAAAAGACTATGTTGTATTAAGGAAAAAAAGTAAGAATCACTTCAGCCAACCAAAGGCTAGAGCATTGATTTTTAGATGTACTACATTTCATTGTGTCTTTTTTTTTTAATCCAAATGTCAGGCTTGTTAATAGCTTTATTAGTTAGAGAAAAGTTTGTAACTTTCTTCATAGCAAAAGTTGACTGTGGTCACTGATCACTGAATATGTTTTTTATTGATTAAAAAAAATCTCATACCATAAAATCTTTATCCATTGGCCTAGCTGTTTGGAAGCTTTTCTAGCCTTCCCAAAGATTCTTTAGTTCCGTTGCAGCTTCATTAATAAAATAGCAAATGTGGGAAATTATGCTTGATTGGGTTATGAGTCTGAATGAAACTGCAGAGGTTTATCCACCAGGGATTGCCACTTGGGCACAGCTTAAGATATGAAAATTATCCTTCTGATTTCTCTGAAATTCCACTTAGAAAAGCCATTTTTGTCTAGATATGGTGATTAGTGATATAAAACTTCATGCAAAATGATATATATTGACATCGTGCTAAGAAAAGACATTTAACATGACCTTCAGGGTTTAAATATTGATCAAACAGTAGTGTCTCTTGTATGTAAAAATCACAGTTACTGTCTTAAAAAGAACCACCTACTATGAGGCTGATGCTGTGTTCAATACCCCGTGAATACTTTTATATGCATGGACAACCATGTATACTCCGCTAAAATGTGCAGTAGTACTCTGAAGTAACTGAGAACTTGTAGAAGTTAGTTAACTTCACCCAGCTCGAAAGGAATAGAACTGGATTCTGAACTCAGATTTTCTTACCTGCTAATCATGTTCTCTTAACTGTTGTGCCTTAGTTTTTTATAGTGTGATGTAATTCTGAAAAAATGAGAAGACATGTAAAAATGAAAGACATGTAAAACATATGGAGAAATCAAGATAAGTGTACTTAGCAAGGTTGAAAACCTCGTTTTCCTTGACTCTGAGTCTTTGGTCAACCAGTAAAGCTACTTGGCTCAGAATCTCCCAGCCTATTAGTTCCTGCCCTTCTGGTTCTGAGCATTATTTTAAAACTTTCATTCTTCCAGTGCTCATGACGAATAAGTAATTCAGAATCGAAGGGAGAAACTTTTACATGCAGTAGACCCTTGGTATCCACAGGTCTGAGAGCACTAATGAGGAGGAAACCACGAATGCTCAGTACCCTTGGGGTCAGGGCTGTACTGTAGATGCTTGATTTATTTTTCCTGTAACTCCATCCAATTTCTGCTTAAGACCTGCTGCCTTTCATCAAACTTAAATTTTTTTTATTTTTTTATAGTGAAAAAACTGTACAGAGGGGTTACAATTACATGGGCAAGATAATAAGTATATTTCTTATCAAGCATTGTAGCCTCTTCCTTTGTTTCCCCTTCCCATCCCTTCTAAGCCTCCCCCCACCAATCCTCCCCGCCCCACCCCCCCACCAATGTTGTAAAGTTCGTTTTCAACATGACAACTTGTACTTCTCATTGTTGCAACAGGTCCACCTGTATCCTTATTTAAACGACTTGTTTTTCCCCTTCCCCTCCACAAATCATACCGACATCAAATACAGTGAAAGCAGGGGTTATACTGTGGGGGAGGGACATACAAAGCAACAAAGAAATAATCTTATAAATGCATTAAAACAAATGCATGAAAGAAAAAAACATTTAAATACATATCTTAGGGTTCATTTTTCCCAACATCACCTTATCTGACCTTTTCTGCTTGACTCATACATATGCTAACTATTGCAAATAAGGGAAACCATGGGACCTATGTTTCTTTGGGCTTGGCTTACTTCACTTAATATAATTTTTTCCAAGTCTTTCCATTTCCTAACAAATGGGGCAATGTCATTCTTTCTGATGGAGGCATAGAATTCCATTGTGTATATATACCATATTTTCTTGATCCATTCATCTACTGAGGGGCATCTGGGTTGGTTCCATGTCTTACCTATAGTAAATAATTCTGCAGTAAACATAGTTGTGCTGGTAGCTTTAGTGTGGTCTTGTTTGTAAACATTTGGGTAAATGCCCAAAAGTAGGATTGCTGGGTCATAGGGGAACTCTATGTGGAGTCTTCTGAGGAACCTCCATACTACTTTCCAAAGTGGTTGAACAAGTTTACACTCCCACCAACAATGAAGCAAGGTTCCCTTCTGTCCACATCCCCTCCAGCATCTGTTGTTATTAGAGTTCTTGATTTTTGCCGTTCTAACTGAGGTGAGATGGTATCTTAATGTTGTTTTGATTAGCTTTTCTTTTATGGCTAGGGAGGTTGAGCATTTCTTCATGTGTCTATTGGCCATCCTTCTTACCTCTTCAGAGAAGTTTCTCTTTAAGTCTTTAGCCTACTTATTTATTGGGCAGTTGTTTCTTTGATGATTTATTGTTGGGGGATTTAATTTTTTGAGTTCCAAGTATATTTTAGATATGAGACCCTTGTCTGTTGTATGGCTAGTGAAGATCTTCTCCCAATCTGTAGGCTTTCTATTGATCTTGCTAGCTATGTCCTTTGCCATGCAGAAGCTCTGCAACTTCATGCAATCCCATTTGTCCAACCTTTCTTTGATTTGTTGTGTTTCCGGGTCTCTATTAAGAAAATTTCAGCCTGCGCCAAGGAGACCTAGGGTTTGTCATATTCCATCCTGTAATGTTTTCAGAGTGTCTGCTTTGACTTCGAGGTCTTTGATCCATTTGGAGTTGATTCTGGTGCAGGGTGATATATAAGGATCTAGCTTTAGTTTTCTACAAGTAGTTAACCAATTTTGCCAGCACCATCTACTGAAGAGGCTGTCTTTCTTCCATTCTATTGTTTTAGCTCCCTTATCGAAGATGAGATGGCTATAGGTCTGTAGGTTCATTTCTGGGTTTTCAATTCTATTCCATTGGTCCTGAGGTCTGTTCTTGTGCCAGTACCAAGCTGTTTTGATTACTATGGCTTTATAGTAGAGTTTGAAATTTGGTATTGATATTCCTCCCGCAGTGTTCTTTCTGTTGAGGATTGTTTTTGCTATTCGAGGTCTTTTATTGTTCCATATGAATTTTTAGATTGCCTCTTCTATTTCCTTGAAGAATGAGGTTGGAATTTTGATAGGTATTGCATTGAATTTGTAGATAGCCTTGGGAAGTATTGCCATTTTCATGATGTTAATCTTTCCAATCCAGGAGCATGGGAGTTTTTGCCATTTTCTAAGTTCTGTTTTGATTTCCTTTTTCAAGTTTTTAAGGTTTTCATCATAGAGGTCCTTCACTTCTTTGGTTACAAACTTAAATTTTTTTATCACTTGAATTAAACACAGTAACTTTTACCTTGCTTTCTAGGTACCATTTTTTTTTGAGGGGGGGGAGCATATGTTCACAAAACTAAGGGCAGGGAAAGCCCTGGCTGATCATATGATGATTATGCAGCTTCAGTCATTATGAGAGGAAACTTGAGAGTTTTCTGAAAATTTATCAATTTATTATTTATTTATTATTTTTGACCACCCTTTGTCAAAAACACATGTAATTAATCTGTGAATAAGGGGACTCGTGATATTCACATTATAATTTAGGGAGTCTGCTGGCTTAAATCTCAATGTAAGGGAAATTTTTTATGGTGAGTTGGAGATTTTTTCAAAGCCAGAGTTCTTAAGGATATACTTAATTCTTAAGGAAGTAGCAAAACATTGAGGCATTGACAGGAACTGAGTAGTATTTGGACAGTGTCCAAAGAGAGGAAATGGAAACACTGATATCCTAAGATAGGAGACAGAAACTGATTCCAGCTTTCATCTCATGTGTACTTTTAAAAGTCCACAACACCCCAAACAAGCTTACTAGCTTATTAGTAAGTTATTCTGCTACTTCAGGCTAAGTTTTTTGTTGTTTGTGTTTGGTGATACTGAAGTTTGAACTCAGGATGTTGAACTTGCCAGGTAGCTACTTTATTGCTTGAGCCAAGCCCCAACCCTTTTTTGCTTTAGTTATTTTTCACACAGGCTCTACTTTTTGCATATGCCATCATGGATTATAATCCTATTTATGCTTCCCATATAGCTGCAATGATAGGTACATGCTGCATTACACAGCTTTGTATGTGTTGGTATGTATGTATAGTCTTGTGCACTTTTTATCTACACACTGTAAACTGTGATTGTCCTGATTATGTACCTCCTAAGTAGCTAAGATTACGGGCATGTACCACTGCACCCAGCTTCAAGCTTTTCTTGTGGTGAAAATTAGAGAGCTAAGTGAATACAGAGATCTTTGCCGAACTTCAGTGAAACTTGTCTTTTTTTTTTTTTTTTTTTTGGTTCTAGGGCCTGAACTCAGGGCCTAGGCACTGTCCTTGAGATTTTGTTGCTTAAGGCAAGTGCTATACCACTTGAGCCTTAGCTACATTTTCTGCTTTTTAGGTAGTTAATTGGATATAAGAGTCTCCACTGGCTTTCCTGCCCAGGCTGGCTTTGAACTGTGATCCTCAGATGTCAGCCTCCTAAGTAGCTAGGATTACAGATGTGAGTCAGTAATATTTGTCAGACTCTTTTTTCTTCTTCATTATTGAGATTAAGTGATTACAGATTACATAAATTTCACAAAATTTACACTATTGTGGGATAGTGATACTTAGTCACAAACACATTTTAACCTTCATGAGGCACATTTTCTTTATCATGCTCTATAAAGCTTATGGACTCTACAAACTTGGAC